TGTCTACTTTGTTCATGGGGTTGATGACATAAAAATAAAGTTATGAATACGTGTCAAGTGTCTAAAGATTAACAATAACTCCACACCTTCCCACCCCGCCTGCCCATTTTTCCAAACACACTGAAAGGCTTGAAACATGAAAGACGACGTAGTATTGATAATCAAAAATCGCGTTCGTTTTCCTGATAGAGGAAATACATAAAAATTAAGTATTCAATTAGCCTACTTATCTTCATCTAAGGCTTTGATTTCTTGAATTAATTAAAAATTATATCTACAATACAGCTTGGCAATATGAATTAAAATAAATGCGGCATTTATTTTATCTTATATCAAATAGTAGATGAGTCTAAATTAGATGCAGAACTATATAGCGTTACGGTGTTATATTTAAGTCTCTGACCATAGCTTTATGGCCAAAGACTAAAATATACTCTTATTAAACCTTATATAATACTACAGTTCGATTCAGGAGTCAAGTCTCACTGCACAAGTGTACCCTTTATAAATGTACAAGATATACCCTTAAACTATTGTGCAGGGTAGATACGACTCATAATATTTCATATCTAATTATAATCAAATGCAACATTCTCTATCAGCAATGATTTGATGAAATGAAATTAGTTGACCTACTTGTTCCGCAAGTCAAAGATAAGACCATATAATATTCCATATATGCGTATTTACTATTTTGCTAAATCAAAAAATTAAGATTATATATGTATTTTTCAAAATGTAATCCAAATTTTAATTTTATTTCGTTTTAATACATAAAACATTTTTCCTTGCATTATCATTTTAAGTAATCAAAAGTTGAACCCGCTTTTGATTGGTTAGTTTGGATCTTGAATTTCGAAACTCGAATTTTGATTCTCGAATTTCGAATCTCGTATTTCGAATCTTGAATCTCGAATGAGCCTTCTGGGTTTTCGTACTTCGCGGCTCTAGAGCAGACGCTCTAACCACTGCGCCTCGCGGGCGACCCGTGGAAAGAAGCTAATATTTGTCGAATTCTTGATATCGAAATAAAAATATATAAAGAAAAACAATTAAGGATAAATAACACAAACTTTTTCCTAAGAAAGTGAATTATCTTTATGTATTCAGAAGCATTTCTCACTAAAGAAAAAAAATATCTGACCATCTAACCACTTTATGATTGAACTATTCACCAAAATTTTGGGGAATGCTGGAAAATGTATGTTTCTGGTTCAATATTTAAAAAAAAAAAAAATGTTTCTAATTTATTTTCTTTCATCTTTATGAAAAAATTGTATTTATGCAGATCATTCTCCTGGGTCAAACATTTCATTGATGACAAACAAATTTTTCTTATTCATTTTCTAAAGTAATCAATATTGCAAAAAAAAAAATGATAAAAATTGGTGTAAAAAGTTAACAAACAATCCTAAAGTAGGTTGATATTTTTTAATGGAGTCCTTAGTTTAAAATTAGTTTTATTCATTGAATTGGATTGGATTGAAAGACCTTAAAGTAGTATTAATTTTGAACAAACAAGGAATATTGGGACCACCCTTTCGACTTTAATAAAATGAGAGAAGAAAAAAACATTGACATAGAAAATAGATATATTGAACCACGTCAGGAAAGTGTTGTCTCCTCTATTGCACTGAACAAGAATGCAATGTCAGAATAATTTGAATTCAATTTTGTTTTACGTTATTTTATCAAAAATAAGGTTGAAACGACCATTTTTCTACTTCAATTTTTTTTTTCAAAAGGAATTTGAAAAACAGACAGAATGGAATATTTTTATTCTCATTCTCTGGTATGCCGATATGAATCCAAATTAACAACCCAGTAATTATGTCGAGATTAATATAATGAGAAATCCTTTTTTTTAGAATGATGCAGATATGCACCAGGAACAGAATTTACTCTTATGACACAGACAGTACTAAAAGCTGAGTTCTCATCAAAACAACAGTTACTTTTGCTGATTATGCTAAACATCCAAAGAAATTTTGTTTGAGTGAAGCCCTTTTAAATTGCAAGGCAATATTAACTCTCCTTTTTAAAAGTAAAAATACGAGGGGTGATCAAAAAGTTCGCAAACTAATTGAATAACTTCCATACAAGAAACATTATTTGGTTTTAATGTTGATTATATTTTAAATTAATCCTCCCCGATTTTAATGCACATCAACCACCGTTGTGCGCATGCGCGGATCACGTGATATTGGCGGTCACTTTCCGTAGCGTTCTGTCACAAAAGTTAAAAGATTTTTCCGAGTTTTGTATTTCTTTCCATGTGAGTTAATTTTTATGACAAGAACAGTTAATTTGTCAGAAATGGTCATATAATGGGTGGATAATAACATCCTTCCCAAAAATAAGCATGCCGACCATTAAAACACAAATCTTCTGTCTCAGGAGAGACCTTTATACAGAATGGGTGCATCCTTTTTATCATATCTAATATGTTTAAAATCTAAAGTAAACGATATCTTAGGTATTTAATACTTATATCATTGTTCAAATATTCAACTATTTTTCAAAGTGCTAATTGGAGGTCTTTGATAGCAAATTGCTTAATTAAAAATACATATCTTTTCAAACTTGCTTTCACTGGGCAAGATTTTTCTCAGCCTTCCTTCACTAAAACGATTAATCCAATCATTAATTGAATTTATAGGAACTCATTTATCTCAATAAACTGTGTACAAATTATTATATGATACTGCTGAGGGATTTCTAAGATATTACAATAAATTGTACAGTCGTTTGTTGAACGAGTTCGACTGAGACAACCATTTTTCGTCACGTGACCTAAATTGTGACGTCATTTTCACATTGTGACGTCACAAACAAGGAGAGAAACTTTATTCAGCATATGCTATTTATAGACCTTGTGTATAGCTATGTGTGTACCGAATTTCATTCTAATCTGAATTGTGGTTTTGTAGATATAGAGATAGTTTGCGAACTTTTTGATCACCCCTCGTATAACTGAACTTCAATGCAATACTAATTTTTCTCATTCAGTGTTCTTCTTTGGTTTACTTACAATTATTCATATAAAGTTTTATCATTATTGGATAAATTTTAATAGGGTCGGTCTCTTTCTATATATATCTGAAATATGGACCAAATACTTTATAATAAAGTTTCATTTTTTTGCTGTGATGGAAATGTTGGGGTATGCAAAACAATGAAAAACAAATGTACTTTCTTGTTTGACTACATCGTCGCAAACCACGGCCAAAATGTACGATCCTCTCCCATTCTGGCCGTGGTTGAACGAGGAGAGAATTCTTCGTAGCTCATTAAAAAATTGGCCAATGCGAGTAAAGCATAGTCGGATGACGAACTTTATCGCGACCTCCCAATGTCCAATTGATCACAGTATAGGAAATATTTCTTGTATACTGTTGACGTCAGTTGTTGGATTTCAACAAAACTTGCCAGTGACTGAATATGACGTCACAATAGAGAGGCGTAAATATTCAAGATTGCGACACTTTTTGTGATCAAGCAGCCACGGGTAGGAGAGAGCTATGTGTATGCGGACTCCGGACCGTGGCTTGAGACGATGGTTTGACTAATAAAAAATGATTTTGAGATTCATCAAAAAAAGCACCGATTAACAACGTAAAACACCCCAACATGCTTTTAATGTAGCTGTGCTTGTTTACTGAGATTTACTCACACTTAAAACCAAACTTAACACGTGACATAACTGTTAGTCACTCTGACTTTGACACAAACTCTGCATCTGCATAATATAAAGCAGGGGGCGAGGTCGTTTTATCTACGTTGTTCAAAGGGCCATAATTTAATTAGCAAACTTTTTAACAATCTTACATTATGCAAATTTCACAACTTACAGTCAGCCAACAGGGAAAAATGTATATATTGGCTGTCTTTAGTGGGTAGATTGTGGGGGGGGGGATTTCTCCAATAAATAATAACTGATAAGTAAAATCGTGCTGAATTTTAAAAAAAGGATCTGCACCATGTGCACGAAATTGCACTCTGCTGCAATACAATGTAACGCATAGTACTGCCTTGCAAAATGACCAAACAAAATAATATAAGTCAGTTTGTTTCGTAATTGAATTCAAAACATGAATAACTAGAGGTACTGTGAGCAATGAGCTCACTAAATGATAACCCCCCCCCTCCCATATGAATATAATGACAGTGTCCATGTTTTGCTCTGGAAAATCCAAAATATATGTCAGATCAAAAAGTAAAATAGGAGGTGCACGATGGCAATATGTAATAAAGATTCTGTGAAAGTTTCATTAAATTTCCTTCAGTGGTATGAGAGGAGTTGCGGATAAGAGATGGGTACCCCAAAGCGTAACAGACGGACGGACGGACATACCGATTACTATATACCCTCCCGCTTTTCAAGCGGGGGGTATAAAAATCCACACTATTTTCACTGCATGTTTCACTCCAATAACAGCGTGTCACTTTGTTTGATAGACCGTAGTAATATTTCACAAATTGATTACGATATTATTCATCAATTGGATGCTTGATTTGAATGAAATCAATGCTAGTTTGCATATATAACACAGAATACAATAATACCTGGATGACACTGCGTGGCCAATCATACTGAATGACTGTTTACCAGTGCGGCTTTTGTAGTCACCAGCAGCACGTGGTCAGTCAAAGCCCTTTTTCTGTCCTAAAATAAAAGTGTCATATTTGTTGTGCCTTTACCATAATGAGAAAAATTAAAAGCATGAAATAAGTAAAACTATTAATGAAACGTTTTGACACAGGATTCCTGGCATTGCAAGGATGAGTGATAAATATTAATTTATCACATAAAAGTCATTTGCAACATTCAGATGCCAATAGTATACAAATGCCATCTAAAAGAACATTTTGAGAACTTGATTAAAGTTAAATATCATAATTTTTTATGAACACAAATGAGTTGATGTATTCGTATTTTTTCTCTCTTCAAGGTAAAAATTTGCTTTAGTTCTCTTCTAAAAAACAGAACAGACAAGGAATTATCCATGCTTGGCAAGTGTTTATTTATATAGAAAATGAAAGTGTATGCTGACTATTTATAAAATGTCAAATTTTGTCAAAGAACAAATTGGAAAATATGATTCATTTTTCATATCTTAATAAAACACACTTCTCAAATTGTAAACAATCAAATATTCATGCTAGAATTATTCCTTTAAATTGGTTCTCTGTTTACACACACTTAGTAAAACTCCCTGTGTACAATTTGCCAAAAAAGTGCTTATGATCTAAATAACAAAACACTTTGAAATTCAGAAACATGTACAATCTAAAAAAAATTGATAAATTTCTTTGATTTGTATCTGCATGTATCTAACATATATTCAGCCATTTTTTGATTAAATGAGCTCTATCACAATATATTTAAATGTTCCTAAATTTCTTTAATGATATCAAAAACTTAATAAGTGTATTCTTTTGAAAAAAATTTACTGAAGAAAAATTCATAATTTTCCAGATAAAATGTAAATGGTAAAAGTATGAATGTTTGAACCAACTCTTAAATATGACAAAATAAAATTATTAATCAAGTTGGTGTATCTGATATCAGGAAAGTTTAAATTCTCTCTTCGTTAGGAAAAATTTAAAACCAATTGCACTGTGGAAAATATAATCAAACTATAATCAACATACATAATTTATTTGCATAAAATGCCCTTCACCAAGAGATCAAAAAAGTTACATGCAATATGCTATGAAGCAAATATAATCATGTCATTTAATCAAAATTAAAAAAAAATTAAAATCAAAGTCAATCAAAAAGTGAAGACATAAATTACATAAACATTTGTCTAAATCACAAATCAACCACAAATCTGACCAGAAAGAGGCCTTAGATTAACCAAAGCACATTTTCTTAAAGTTTTTATGAGCCTCCCTCAAAAATTAAAGAAAACCCAGTTACCTCCCTTTTCGCATTCATTCTTACAAGGAAAAAAAAAATTTACAATCTTTGTTAACATTCATATGACAAACAAAAAATTAACTTGGTATCGAACTATGTCTAATGTCATGCCATTACATACCAAATTTGAACATTTCATAATGATCATGAAAAGAGGTATTCAGAAATAATATGGATTGATTTTATGAGCAAACAAAGATAAAGGACATCTGCAAATTCTTGCAAGTCTCTGAATTAAATGTAAATCACCATACAAGCACCAGTTTTAAGGTTACGATTCATCAACTGTAAGCATTTATATTTAGTGTAGAGCAAGATTAAGCAAATTACAATACTTTCTTATTTTCTAACTTTTTTTGCAGTTCCCAAATACAACTGAACCAAAGACCAAACTCTTAAATTTTGCAGTAAATTAGACATATTAAAGAAAACATTAAATGTAACTAAGATACATTTATATATACCATATCAAAACATCACAATACAAGTTCTTTCTTCAAACAAAATAAACCATTTGAAAACAAGTTTACTAGTTCACACACAATATTTTAAAAATTTCAAAAGTACAACAAATAATTCATATGTGTATAATGAGTTTAAACATTGGTTCAATGATCAAAATAAATTCTAATTTCATATGAAGTCAACGATTTCAAAAAGTGAAAAACATACCTATCTAAAATTTAAATTGCTAAAAAAGAACACATAATATGCACATTATATGCCTCTAATCACTAACACAGTGGAATAGATGTTGTTCATTAAATGCTGATTGTTCAATTTTGTCTAATTCATTGTCTGAAACAAAAATGGAAAGCAATATTACACAGTACCATATTGTATACATTTGTTTATAGAACTAGATTTTGGACCATTTTGCCTGGTTTATTGCATTTGCCAAGTTCACAACATGTCATAAAGCCATGGATATATTGAAAAAAACATTTGCTGTATGCATAATTTTTTTTTAAAAAGTGATATAAATAGTATTTTAGGTTACCATGTTATTAAAATCCGTATGTCCCTTTCATCTGTTCTACTTTAGTTATATAGGCTTGCTCGGCATCTTCTTTACTCATTCCTAGATGAGAAACAAATATAAATATTATCAGGCAAATGCACGTAAAAACGGATAAACAACAGAGATATGTCAAATATCAAAGTGAACCACTAGTCTACATAAGTTAAAACTTATTAACTTGGTTATCTTGAAAATTCAGATACAATTTAATTTTTTAATCTCCATCTTGTTAGAGATTTTGAAGTTATAGATTGAATTTGACTGTACCTTTTTTGCCATTCCAGGCATCCCATTTAGCTTTGCCTTTTAAATCTAGCATTCCTGGACGAGCTGAAATATAAACATAAATCATTAAAATATTTGAACACATGTATAGATTCTTTATCATGTTTATTGCATGGACTATGAACAAAATTTTTAGATATACAGATATTATTATTAAAGCCAACAAGCTATACAAACTTTGAACATATGTAGCAAAGAATCTACTCTACTTTATTAACAGAAGCAACAATACTTCATATACAAATGTATACAGAAATTTTTAGAAAGAATGAAATATTGTTTCAGCATTTTATCAACATATGATAAAATTGTTAGGACAATGTTCTCTGTGTTTTGGGGGGAAAAAGAAACAAGAAGACAAACAAAAAGTTTAGATACAGTTGTAAAATTCAAGTCTTTCTGCATATAAACAACATTGTGTGTTCATTTTAAAATTGCATGTGTATATATAAGCACAATTCCATACATACATTGTCATTTTTTTTCCATTAAGAAAAGAAATGATGGTGTAATTTGATTAATATTAAGAATAAGACATTTTTGCATTTTTTGAAATGATTGTGTAATTGTCTTCACAGCAAAAGAGAAATCAAATAAAAGAGTTGCTGAAAGTGTGCAATATCAACACACACTATTCACCAAAATGCCACACAAGTCGCGGAATAACTCTTTTTCTCAACAAGGCTGAAAGACATAGGTTACCTCTTAGTATGTAAATCGTAAATCCATAATAAAATTAATGTAAAAACTCCAACAATGAACATCAAGTAAAAATTACTGGTATCTATACCAGAAGGTCTTGTCACAAAGATCTTACAAATGAAATGTAAAAGCTGTGGCAACGAACTATGAAAAAGTTGTGCCCAATGAAAACATTTGTGGTAAAATTTTGCAAAAGAGGTTAAACTCCAAAGTTAAGGTCGAGGGGACAAATATATTTGGTACACAAAGGGATCATTATAAGGAATTTACAAGTGAAGTGTGAAAGCCCTAGCTCCAACCATGCCAACCAGTCAAAGGTTATAGACAAGATTAACATTTACATGGAAAAATTACAGACCAAAAATCTTTATGCTCCCAAGTTTTCGATTACAGGGGCATCAAAAATTCTTTTCACCACCTGTCTCAAATAGAATTCTTTACAAAAATTATCAGACTTTCAGCATGTTTGTCATCAAAAACCTATCTTTGTATGGGTAAAATAAGGACAACAACAACAACAAAAAAAACATCAACAACTCACTACAAATAACATGTGTGTAACATTATATTCTTATATCTACAGCATGATTCATACAAAGACAAAAAAGGACATAATTCTACCTTTCTGACCGGCCTATATATATATACGTTATCAGTCCGACTGGTGACCTTGAATGACCTTGGTTGACCTACCTGTGTTAACGTCGCCGACCGTGGCCTGTTTATAGAGACTGTAGACCTCTAATAGATCCTGATCTGATGGACTATTCTTCAACTTCTTAACATCCTCCGCTGCTTTTGTGAACTCCTACAATACAGGGCAGTTTTCTTTTAGAAATGGCTATATTTTACAATAATTAAAATTACATTGTAATATTCCTTGCATATAATTTAAATGAACTTCAATTTCTAGGTGTGAAATATTCAAGACTTTGCATCATATTTTCCATCTTAAAAATATTTCTTTTGCAATTTTTGATTAGATCTATATTTTATTGCTGCAATTGTTGATCAGATTTTTTTACACTAAATGTTCATTACTTCATTTGCCAAAGTTTAAAGTTGCTTTCAGAAGGATTTGAACCTTTCAATCAATAAGTTATCAAGTTGAGCATAATTTTATATCTTAGCACTGTGAATAAAGTACAGGGAAAGAATTACACCCAGAAGATAAGAATATCGTCTTCTGGTTACATATATATGCATTTACTTCAGGCAATATATACCTGGTGAATCATTGATTTTGTCAATCTCCCATAGGTGTCTAATCAACACATATCAGGAAATGTTATATTGGAATAAGGGTACTCGTATCCTTTTACATGTACATGTTTAAAATGGGGCCTGTCATCAATGCATGTTATGTGCCTGAATTTTACGCAAATATTAATCTGCATGCTTAAGAAACACAGGGTACATGTACACTGTGTTTCTTAAGCATGCAGATAGGCCTATAATTGTATATAAATTGCATAACAAAACATATAAGTGATATAACTAACACGTTACTAAATTTAATTTATAAGCCAACAACAACTAACATTAATTTCAAATATTTTCAATAAAAAGGCATGTTAAAATCTTTTAACCCCCCCCCCCCCAAAAAAAAAAACTACTGTGCATTTGCCTTTGATCCGCCCATTTGGAAAATATCGATCATGTTGGAACACCTATTTCAACAAGAATACTTTTAACAATTAGCCAACGTGTTATAAAGCGTTGCAGTCATTTTTAAACAGTCATTTTTTTTACTTACGGCTGAATTCATGATGCTTTAAAGGAAGAAGTAATGAATGCTTCTGACTTGAGTCCAAAGTGCGAGTTGACACCACGCCTGGATGCTATGGACTACTGCCGGAAATTGTGTAAAACACAAAACCGTAAAAAGGGTTGATCCGGAAACAATTTCTTTAAAGGAAAAACCACAGATGCTCGTGGACAGGATTATCCCTACCCCCTATTAAATATAGAAGAACTCTGATTTTTTCTTCATTTCTTTATGTTTCTATTTGAAAATCACATTAAAATATTTTTTTTTTGACATTGAATGGGGGGGGGGTAATCCTGTTTACGAGCACCTGTCGCCCAAACTATTGACATTTTCCTTGCCTTTTACAACGACTAACTGATAGTGTAAATGATATTTTTTAATCGTCAATACGTATAAACACTTCTTTCACCTTTCCCCTCTTTTTGTTTTTTTGCAAAGATAGAGAAATATCGGCATTGAAAATTTGGGCGTAAGATACCCCCCCCCCCCCTTTTCAACAAGCACCTTACAGTTAAGGTCAAAGAAGGGTAAGTGGTGGTGTTTGGAAAAAAATGGTACTGAAAAAAGTTCGATCATAGACATTTATTCCTGCTGTTCAAACCAATTCACTTAAAATATATTTTAAACTAAGTTCGATCCTAACCTCCCCCCGGTCCAGAAAAAATGCAAGAAACATGCCTTCAGTATTTATTTGAAAAGTTTATTTTAACTTAAATTTTATTGGCATAAGAGTGATAAGACACTGGGAGGGGCTGGGGGTTGGCGGACGGTATGTACTACAAGCATGTCTGGTATCAGTGAGCTAGATCATGTGTCATACGTAATAAAGAAAAACCCTCTGTAAAAATGGCAACTTGCGATACTTAAAATGTTATTCTGCTCTGTATAAATTTCATATACATTAATTTTCTTATTATGCCTTATCAGTATATAGATACAATATAACCTTCTAGAAAAGGTCAGGATATATAGTCCATTTTAATTTTTATGTCATTTCAGCAATAAATAACATAAATCCGCACGGAAACTCAATGTACTGGAAACATGTTGTCACGTGCTTTCTCTTGAATGGAATTTCTTTTTCGATACAAGGAAATGATTCTTCATTGAAGAAAATAAGGACAAATGTACTGGACGTGGCAGAGAAACTTGGAGCAACAACATTCCTGGAATTAGTTCAGAAAACTAACCTGACAAGGAATTTTACACAGAAAGGTACCGTGTATTTATATTATAGGTATTTATTTCTTCAAAATAAGGACTTCTTTTTACACATCCCTTTCTCTCTCTAGCTCGACTGAAATATTACTCACAAAAAAGAGTTGACGAATTCATATAAATTATTCCTATTCATATTATGAAATGACAATACTTGTAACTATCACGGCAAAGGCGGATGCAGCGCCGGGTGCCCCCCCCCCCCCCCTTGTTCGATTTTTTTTTCAGGTAGAACATACACACCGTGTATATCCCAACATGCGGGGTGTATACTATGTTGTGCGCGGGGTGTATGCTTCCGAAGCGAGAGAAAGGGGGTCAATGTAGATTCTTTGTCCATTTTCTCAACTATATATTTTTCGCCAGAAAGCATATGCCTACGGAAGAAAGCATTATCTAAGGAGTATATGGATATCTATGAATCCACTGGAAACCTTCTAGTTTTATCAAACACCTCAACACAATTCCGAGGATCGGAGCAAGATTGACGCAACACTGTGTTTATGATCAAATATCTGAAGAAAGCTTTGCTTTATCATCACTTTCATATCATTGTTAAATACATGATTACTAGATAAACGCTTGTACAAATTGTCTGTTAATAAAACAGTTCGTATATAAAGAAATTGACGAAAAACCTATGTTGTGTCCGGGGTGTATGCAACATGGTGTACGCGGGGTGTATACCCCATATATTTTTCTTGGGATTGTTAGTGCGAAGTATATATTGTGGAAATATTTATTCAGGTTTATAAGCGACATTATTTTGAACATTTAACGTTTTCTCATAATTTCTGTTTAACCTTTTTCAACATTTATTAAATGATACTGCATACGGAGTATATATAATTCAGAAAATTGGATACGCAAGAGCATGCTCTACGTATGAACAATTTCTAGAACGAGGTAAATTATTGACAAGCAAGTTGATGAAACAAGAATATCAGCAGTCTTGTTTAAAGACATCATTTCGTAAGTTCTATGGTAGATACAATGACCTTGTCAGCAAATACAGTTTATCATTGAGTCAAATGCTGACTGACGTTTTTAAATTAATTATTAGTCCATTATTTATACACTGAATGGACGACGGATTTTTCCGTTATTTCACGATCATGACAAGGAGCACACGGCGGGTGTGACCGGTCAGTAAGGGATGCTCACTCATCCTTGGCACCTCATCCCATCTCTGATGTTTCGGAGGTCCGTGTTTGCTCTGCTCTTGTTTTGTATTATTTTATGGACTTTGAGATTGAATACTTTTCGTTATCTCCACACCCCTTTTATTGAAAATATTAAGCTTTTTGTAATGTCATAAACACCGCAAAAAATTTTTCCTTCATGTAGTATTTATATGCTGTGTACTTTGCCCCCAGGAGCTCACATTTGGCAGTAAACTATTTGTTTGATATTGAGGCATTGTATTGTACTGAGTACATATTTTTTTAGGAATGGACCCAGGGGTGGGGGGTGTTTGTGTCTTAGGTCATTTGGGGGGGAGGGGTGTAACTTTACTATGTGTATATACGATAATAAATTAGAGGAGGGTTGAACATTAATTGATATTAATTACACGTCAACGTAAAATTGTAATTGTACCCAAAACATTTTTTTATTCAATTGTGCATGCCCTCAGAAAATTGTCGTCCCTTATTACAAATGTGCATTTTTATACTGGCTTTACATGTTTATTGTGATTTGTAAAATATGAAATCTTTTCAGATAAGGAAAATGAGTCCACATATAGCAAAAATTGAAAGGAAAATTAATCCAATATATCATACAAACACGTAGTATCAGCCCCCCTTTTTGAAAATATAATGTATAGTGGGGTATTTTTTGTGGATCGATTATTTTGGGGTTTTGACGATTTGTTCCTATTGCAAACATATTGAATAATTGTACTAAATATAAGTTGTGAAAAGAATGTCAAATAAGCCCCTGGGTTGAATATCGTGGGGGGGGGGGGGGGTTACAAGTACCTGTGTACAGAAAATGTTCATCGAAAGTCAAGTTGCCCCCCCCCCCCCTTTTTGTTGCAGCATAGTCAAACAATGATTATGTAGTATGTTTAAGTTAAAAAAAAAGAGAATGGTAAATGAAAAAAGATGGGACCTTCAACCCACTCTGAAATACAGAAGGAGTTTTGAGTTTCGATCCCCCCCCCCCCTTTATAGTTAGTCAACTTATGTCAAGGTTTTTTCTGGTATCCCCCCTCCAAAAAAGATTCTACATCACTGTCATAAATGCTTAAGAATACATGTATTGATAACATAAAAGTTGCAGAAACAAAAGAGATTTATCCATAATACACCATTCATGTAGTGTTTCTATTATTTTTAACAGGCGAAATATATAGGTTAAAATGATCCGAAGAAAGGACAAAGTGTACTCAATGCAGGGATTGGGCAGGGCCCCCTTTGGAGAGATTTTATCTTTTATGATTACGTAGATTTAGACCAGATAACAATCGCTCCTCGCACATCTAGTGCCTGTTATGTTTGAATATGAAAGTTAACTTTGTTTTCAATTTTTTTTTAATCTTTTGATTTTTTAAAATTAAGTTGATTTGTTTTATACTTCAGTAAGTTTATAGACTTTACTTTTTGGTTTGGCATTAGTATTAAGGTCTTTTATCAACACTACCTGTCGCTTATAAACGTGTATAAATATTTCCACAATATATACTTCGCACTAACAATCCCAAGAAAAATTTTTGGGTATACACCCCGCGTACAACATGTTGCATACACCCCGGACACAACATAGGTTTTTCGTCAATATCTTTATATACGAACTGTTTTATTAACAGACAATTTGTACAAGCGTTTATCTAGTAATCATGTATTTAACAATGATATAAAAGTGATGATAAAGCAAAGTTTTCTTCAGATATTTGATCATAAACACAGTGTAGCGTCAATCTTGCTCCGATCCTCGGAATTGTGTTGAGGTGTTTGATAAAACTAGAAGGTTTCCAGTTGATTCATAGATATCCATATACTCCTTAGATAATGCTTTCTTCCGTAGGCATACGCTTTCTGGCGAAAAATATCCGTAAGTTGAGAAAATGGACAAAGAATCTACATTGACCCCCTTTCTCTCGCTTCGGAAGCATACACCCCGCGCACAACATAGTATACACCCCGCATGTTGGGATATACACGGTGATACAGGTATGTATGAGTCCATTATCCACTATTAAGGAAAAGCACCTCGTATATATTTGCAAGAATTCGTCAGCTTCATCGGCCCCTGCAACAGGGCTTGTACTGGACCCACTACACATACACGTATATACACGTTTATACACGTATTCATATATTTCTACAAAGGACCAATAACAGTATTCATCCCCTCAAACCAAGCATTTAATGAACTCCCAGAAGACGAGAAAGGAAACCTGGAAGACTCCTCTTACGCAAAGACCATCCTACTCTATCACATCGTTCACGGGCACCACCAAAAAGCCAGTTTTCAAAATGAGGTCACTTACAAGTCGGAATCGAGGATGGAGGGAGAGGATGCGCTTTTAGAAGTTCGTCTGAATATTTATCATGATGGGAAGGTAAGAATTGAAGTGGGTAGGGCTGGCCTATTTGTTTGTTTTTATAATTAATATGTGATTGTTTAACGTCCCTCTCGAGAATTTTTTACTCACATGGAGACGCCACCACTAGCCGGTGGAGAGCTTCAAATATTGTTCTATATTCCACACGGGGCCATTGAGCAGGGAGGGATCTTTTTCGTGCCAATACCTACATGTACTATGACACAGGACCTCGGTTTATAGGTCTCATCCGAAGGACCGGTCTCCACGTCCTGCAGTTGGCGTCGGTAGGGATACTAGTATTTATAAGATTCCTTATTTTTAAGAAATGGTTTAAAAATTAATGAACTTTGTTAAATTATGTTTGTTTATTTGTATGTTTACCTCCCTTTCGAGAAGTGTTCACTCATATTGAGTCACCTTGATGCACCACTTGCCAGTGGAGGGCTACAGAATGAGCGACACTCATGAACTATTTATTTTTATTCCGACACCCTCTGCAACACGGGACCTCATACGTATGGCACGCCAAATTCACAAAAATGAGATAAACCTAGTTTCACATTTGATAAACTAGGTTTATCGACTGTAAACTATAGTTTACAAACCGTAAACTATAGTTAACGATTCGTTAAGTATAGTTTTCATCTGTAAAACTATATTTAACGGTTGTTAACTATAGTTTACGAATGATAATCTAAGTTTATCTGTCTGTAATAAGCGTTAACAATAGATTTTGTTGATAAACATAGATTCACGTTTGTAAACTATAGTTTACAATCGTAAACTACAGTTTAGAGTTGTTAATCATAGTTTCACAAATCGTGAAACTATATTTATCAGATCGTTAACTATAGTTAACGGTTTGTAAACTATAGTTTACAAATCGTGAAACTGTATTTATCAGATAATCTATGTTTTGCAATCGCAAATGATTGTTTTCAGTGTTAAGTATAGTTTACGGTTGTGAAACATAGATTATCGCGTTAACTATAGTTTACAGATGTAAAATATAGATTAACGTTGTTAACTATAGTTTACAGTCCGTAAACTATGCTTTACAACCGGTAAACCTAGTTTATCGACTGTGAAACTATGTTTTGCTCATTTTTGTGAATTTGGCGTGCCATACATACGGGTTCATTAAAAAAACGGTCTTAACATCCCGCAGTGGGATTCGAACCCGCGACGTACACGTTAGCATCAACCCCTTACTTTGCGACTCTAAAGCAAGCTTTTACGCTCGATCTGTGTCCTAGCCTTTAAGTCTGTTTTCATTTTATGGTCTAGGGGCCTGCTAGGGGCCCTAAGCTTGGAAAAGTAATCTTTCTTTTTTGCTTTAATTTTTAAACAGATCATTACAGCATCTGGAAGTCCAATAATTAAATTTGACCAGGAGGCAACCAATGGAATTGTTCACCTTCTATCACGTGTCATGTACCTGCCTCCTGCCTTTGGTTCGATTGCACAACTGACATCACTTCCGATAATACGTTACGTGATGTATGGGCTCATTGATGGAGGCTTAGCGGAAAAATTAAATAGTAAATAACTGATAACTTTCCTAAAAGATTGCAGTTAAATAACTTACACGTATACATTGCCGAGTCGGCTTTAGGTAAAACTAATCAATAATCTTCTTTTGAAATTAAACAAACGTTTCTTATGTTTTCAGGGAAAGAGCCATACACTCTTTTTGCTCCCTCGGATTTGGCATTTGAAGCACTACCAAATAAAACCATAAATATTCTCACTGGAAACAAAACGGCCATTCGTCGTGAGTAGAAACATAAAAGTTGAATTAATTTAATTATGAAATAAATCATATTGCTGATATGTATAAAATGATTGTTTTTCTATTGAAGAGAGCCCGTAAACGTTTCATTTTTTACAGTAATTAACTCATGCAATCTTTAAGTTAGAGAAAAGAGAGGGTTTAATTTGCAAGAAACTTTATCATGCATGTATATGTTTTCGGTTGAACCTCAAGTTAAACGAATTTCATAAGTTTTAACCGTTTAACTGCAATATGATCATGATTCAGGTGTAATGGAGAATCACATCCTATCCGGTACATATTTTACAAAAGGAATGAAACAGGACGACAGATTTACAACGATGCTCGGAGAAACTCTGACGGTTGATTCCATTAAAGGTTTGTCTGTACAAAAATTCTGCCAAAATTTAGGCAAAGTCTACTATATCGGCCCATAATTGGAAAAAAAAAAATACTGGTGTAGCAATTAAAGAGAAGAATTTTCCTCCAAGCCAACTTTTTCTCTGGATTCTATATTTCAGAGTAGGAGCCTCTAAAGGGAAAAACTTACATTTGAGCTAAATTTTCCCTTCTCTCTCTCTCTCTCTCTCTCTCTCTCTCTCAAAGCATGATTTTCCCTCTTCGATCAATAGTGTCGCCCGCGTGGTGCAGTGGATAGAGCGTCTGCTCTAGAGTCGCGAAGTAAGGAGTTGAACCTTACGTCGCGGGTTCAAATCCCACTGTGGGACCGGTCCTTCGGATGAGACCATATAAACCGAGGTCCCGTGTCGCAGTAGGTGCTGGCACGAAAAAAAAATCCCTCCCTGCTCAATGGCCCTGAGTGCCGAGTATAGGACAAAAATTTGCAGCTCTCCATCGGCAATTTAAGGGGTGGCTTAAAAAATTCTCAAGAGGGACGTTAAACAATATACAATCAATCAAACAATCAATTAATCAATGATTTTTAAAATCATATCGATAGAAATTTTACTTGTACCTGCTAAAAGTTAATTTCAATTGGTATTTTTCATGACGTCATTATGTTGACATCTTTAAGGTAATGTTACCGTCAATGGTTCCCTCCTAGTGCTTCCGGACTTTACAGCCACTAATGGAGTAGTACATATCGCCACCAAAGTCTTCCTTCCCCCGGATATGTATTGATTTCGGTTTTACTTTGAGGAAAGAAAAGGACAAAATAAAAAAAGCTCTTTTTATTTTTTTTTTATTTTTTGATCTTGGTGTAAAATATCGATACAAAACGAAAAATAGCATAAAATAGCGCATGCGCACACACAAAATTTAATGCCCTAACACACACTCTTACACACACAAACACATTTTCAAACAGACTGAGATTTCAATTATTAGAAATATGAGATAGGCGAGACATTGTACATTAAAATGAATTTCAAAACGGCATATATCAAAATTGTAGTCAATCAAATGAAAATAATGAGTCATGTCAGATAGCATACAAGATGTCCGATGAATTCATCTTTTTATTAATGAATGGCATACATATGTTTTCGAATGAAAAATAAGAATAATGTGTTTATCTTTTAGCCAAAATAAACTAAGTTTTGCGAAAGTTGACGCACGTCAATGTTTTTGACATTAAGTATGAAAGGACTATATAGTTTGCATATCCCATTTGCTGCCATTATTTCTTAAAAATATATTACCAGTACATGTACATATAAAAAATGAAACTCAAATTTACGTGTTTTGTTTAATATCCCTGTGAATATACCCTTTAATATGCACCCTTTTCTTCCCTTTCCCTTCAATCACGATCTCTTTCAAGAGACTCTTGTCGCCCGCGTGGCAGTGGTTAGAGCCACGAAGTAAGGAGTTGATCCTTACGTCGCGGGTTCGAATCCCACTGTGGGACGTTGAGACAAGTGCTTCACATGAGACCGTTAAAACCGAGGTTCCGTATTGCAGTAGATTCTGGCACGAAAAAAAAATCAGTCGCTGCTCGATGGCCCTAAGTGCCGAGTATAGGACAAAATTTGCAGCTCTCCACATGCAAGTTGTAGCGTCTCCATATGAATGAAAAATTCTTGAGAGGTCCGTTGAATATTATACAATCCGTCAAGAGATTTTTATATCTTTTTACTTTAAGAGTTGATAAACGGCTTGAGACTCATAATATTTATATGCAAATCGATTCGTATTTTGTAAGAAACCCATCCACGCCAACATTAGATCACCAGTTGACAGCAATCTAGGAAAATCCTTTAAATGCTCCCGAGCACGTTTTTCTTCAGTACCCGCTAACATGCTCCAAAAGCGCACAAAGTTTTCATCGGTTAAAATATGATTTCGGCCTTGCTCGTGGGTAGAGAAAAAATCAAAAAACTCTGTTACACAACGACGCACAGCTGATTGAAAGTCCTCCGACTCAGTATATTGAACATTGAAATTGTTGTGGGTATTGCAAAATTGATCAAAGGTAATGGAATTTGTCCCTCTTCGAAAAATATGTGTTGTCCACCACGTTGCAGCTTTCTTTGAGTCCAACGGTACAGTTCTCTGTCGGAGGTATATGCGAATGGATTCCAATTTTTCATTCGTTCTTTTCATATCGGTTTGGCTGATTGTGCCATCTTTATCATGATCTAACATCCGGAACCATGTCTTCCATTTCTGTTTCATGAATCTTTGTTCTATGAATAGAGAATTCAATATATACAAACTAAAGCAAACAAAGTTTGAATATCAATGTACGTCATGAAAAAAGTTATAAGGAAAATATGTTAATGTCATTGTACAAGAAAGAAAGGATGGGTAGCATTCTCTGAAATACAGATCCAAAATGATAAAAATTCTAGTCTTCACCTTGTTCGTTTCATAAAATAATTTCCATGTAGGTTTTTCACGTTTAGTAGCAGTATCTTACTTTAGAAGTTTATCCTCTGAATCTGAAATAACTTACTTTCGGTCGGGTTCGACATCCAGAATATTATGATTATTAAGGCTATCAGAGACTGGACAGCTGATTGACATAAATTGCCATAGTATATGACGTCATAAAATTCTGTGTCACAGTACCAGGATTCATTTTTAGCCTTGCTTCCGAATTGCTTCGATTTGTCAACGGAATCGGGAGATATTTCAAAAACTTGTACACAGCCTGAAAGTAAGAATTAAAAGTTACATTTATTCTTTAAGATTTTGACGCGTTCCTGGATTTTCTAATTATAAAAAAAACAACCTTGTTCTGTACGTGTACACTGATTGAAGATTTTGACGCGTTCCTGGATTTTCTAATTATAAAAAAACAACCTTGTTCTGTACGTGTACACTGATTGAATTTTTTCTCAAAAATACACGATATTCCTTTACTTCTGATATAAGCAGTTAAAAGAGTTCCCAGTAGAATTGCACTGAATATAGAATCATGTTTTCGATTAAAGTCTATTAGTTGTTAAAGTGTGGCAGTTTTTTTTACAATAAATTTTGTTTCTTTGTGTTTACACGTTTCATAAAAACAATCCGACCAGGATCCCCCTTCTCGACCCCCCCCCCAATACTTACCAATTATCCATATTATATATAGGTAAGTGATATAGACGAATATGAGGACAAGACGAATCAAATAATGGCACTGTTTGCTAAGGATGTCTTCCTCGCTCTTCCTCTCTTTGCGTTGATTTTCACTTGAAGGTAACAGAAAAAAGTAAAGTAACAAGAATCCCAACAGGGAAACCCCTTCAACTCCCATTATCAGGGGCAAGGACGAGGCAACAGGACAGAGGTCTATAAACGTTACACCTAAAATATATATTGAAAAAATAATGTACGTAATACCTTAGAATATATATTAAAAATAGATATACTCAATACCTTAAAATATCAGATATAAACGCTGAATATACAAATTACATAAAATGTCAATCTAAATCAACGCAACACAATAGGTAAATGCACGCTTTACTTTAAAATATCTAAAAATGTAGTTTATGCCTAAAATAGTTTAAATAAATGTAAGTTATACCAATAGATATAAAAAATAAATCTACATAATCCCAAAAAATTAAAAGAATTAATAATACATTTACTTAAAAGTTTCAGGGGAAAATGTACACAATAGGTAAAAAAGCCAAAAACGACGTTTTAGATAAAATATCGAAAATTTAAAAGAAAATTGGAAAATAAGTGAACATAATCCTTAAATATATCAAAAATAAATATACGTAATTAATAACTAAGAATATGAAAATGAAATGTTTGTAATGACATATACGATATCACTGTAGAAATAAAGAAAGATTACGACGCTATATCTCGACATTTCAAATAAATACCTTATAAATAAGAATTTCTAATCTATATATTATAAAACTATCAGTGACCTATCAGTAATCTATCAGTGACCTATCAGTTAACTATCATTTTCCTATTAAACCATCAATGACTATTTATTTATCAATGGTCTATTAAACTATCAGTGACCTATTAATCTAGTAGTGACCTATCAGTAAACTATCAGTAAACTATCACTGACATATCAGTTAATCATCAGTGATCTATCATTAAACTCCCACTTACATCTCAGTAAACTATCAATGACCTATCAGTCAACTATCAGTGACATTTCAGTAAACTATCATTGGCCAATCAGTAAACTATCAATGACCTATCAGTAAACTATCAGTGGCGTATTTGTAAACGTTCATCGACCTATCAGTAAATTGTCAGTGATCTATTATTAAACTGTCAGTGATCTATCCGCGCGCGCGCCCGCGTGGCGCAGTGGTTAGAGCGTCTGTTCTAGAGTCGCGAAGTAAAGAGTATAAATCCTTATCAGTAAACTACTCAGTGGAGGCCGGTCCTTTGGATGAGACTTTAAACCAAGGCCCCGTGTCGCTAGGTGCTGGCACGTAAATTGTCAGTGGCCTAAGTGTATAACAAAATTTGCAGCTCTCCACTGGCAAATGGTGGCATCTCCATATGAGTGAAAAATTCTCGAGAGGGACGTTAAACAATATACAATCAATCAATCCGTAAACCATCAGTGACCTGTTAGTACAGTATCAGTGCCTATCAATAAACTATCATTGACCTATCAGTGAACTATCATTGGCCTTTCAATAAACTATCATTGACGTATCAGTAAACGATCAGTGACCTATCAGTAAACTAGCAGTTACTTATCAGTAAACTGTCAGTGACGCATCAGTTAACTATCAGTGACCTATCAGTAAACTGGTTAGTAGGGCTTCATCCTGCCTGTGCCCTTACCGTCTTCCACATTAGCTTACCCTCGTATGTATACAAAATTCCGAATAGCACCACTACTGCAAGAAGTAAATATTTTAAATCTGAAATTAAAAATATAAAATGAAGGCAACGGTTCTCTGAAAAATTTTCTGTAATAACTGCAAAGTTAATTCCAAAATTTTGTTTATATTTTATGTTTGTATTCAATCATATTCACTCAAAACCTTACAGGTGGCTTGTTTAGGGGTGTTAATGTATTGATAAATGACGATGGTTTTATTAAAAAAGATATTGTATTGATAAATGACGATAGTTTTAATAATCAAAAATGCTATTGATAGATGAACATGGTTTTGCAGGAAAATATTGCTATTGATAAAAGACCATGGTTTTATAGAAAAAAACCCCCATATGGTACTGATAAATGACCATGGTTTCATAGAAAAAATAATGCTATTGATAAATGAACGTGGTTTTATATAGAATTAAAATATTATGGTACTGAAAAATGACCATAGTTTCATGCAAATAAATTATGGTATTGATAAATGACCATGGTTTCCTAGAAAAAGAATGATGCCGCTATTGATAACATCGTCGTAAACTACGGCCAAAAATGTACGATCCTCTCCCATTCTGGCCGTGGTTGAATGAGAAGAGAATTTCTCTTAGTTCATTAAAATATTGACCAATGCGAGTAGAGCATTGTCGGATAATGAACTTTGATGTGACTTTTCAATGGACTTTTACGAGGAAGGCTGACTTTTACAGATTATACTGACTTTTACACTAGGGCTATGTACGGTAGCTCTTTTATAATATACAGTATATAAATATTAAGCTCAACATTTAATTAAACGAAAATGAAGGGTTATTTCAATGCACATATAAGTTGTCCGTGAGGAAAATGACAACCATCTAACCCTCATTCCGGTCTTCATATATTATTGCCCATAACAACATACTTATAACCACTAGAAAGGTTTTCTTATGCATGATCAATTCTGTACGTATCTGACATAATAGACCATCTGGGTTTTGAATCTTACTTAAAACATTTTTTCAATGCACTTTTGTATTGCTATTGTAATAATATGATAATGCAAACCAGATGGATGGGGCATTTCATATATTTCTTTCAAAGGGATGAATAGATTTTGATTTAAAAACCTTTATTGAAGAAAACGCATTAAAAGAGCTGAGCAACTTCATGATAATAAGCGAGAGTATTGTGAAGTATCTTTTTTTAACGTATGAAGATTTTATGTGACCATTAGGCAAATAAATTCCCGTTTTTGTCTTCAAAGCACCACATCTTTACGTAAATGAATTTGGAAATGTATTGTGAAATTAAATTTTCCGGGGAAAAAAATCGGAGTTCTACGGGATAACAGATCGAGTGTAAACTTGTCCGAATGTAATGTTCTACAATGAACCACTTTACGTGGATTTATTTGGATGTGTTTTCGGAAAAATCACAAGTTTAAGATAAGTGCTTCAATATCGGTTGTTTCACAATCAGTGACCTGTCTGGACGGAGTGTAAATTCTTCTGAGATACTCCTATTTTGAAGTTTCGTTGCACTTTAAAGTTTAAATTGGATTACGAGATGTTGATTGCTCCATTGCTTGAACTGGATTACGAGATTGTTGATTTCTATATAAAATGCATAATGTTTGTTTATTTTCTGCCTTATTCATTCGCTGTGCAAAATCCTCTGTTTCACACAGTCCAGTATTATTTTTGGAGTACAATATTAGATATAGCTAGTACCCTCTTTGAAATACGAGACTGTAGAAACAAAAGAATGACGTCACAAAAATGTTGTCCAAGTAAACCGTCAACTGTAGAAGTCAGTGCTTCTCGTAAAAGTCCAACACCCAATCGCAGTGTACGAAATATTTCTTGTATAAATATTTCTTGTACATGATATACTGCTGATGGGAATTAATTGTTGATTTCAATGGCGATGGACACAAAACTTGTCATTGACTGAATATGACGTCAAAATACTAGTAGAGAGGCGTATATATTCAAGACTACGACACTTTTTGTGATCAAGCAGCCACAGGTAGGAGAGAGCTATATGCGGACTCCGGACCATGGCTTGAGACGATGTTATTTAAATGACGATGGTTTTACAGAAAAAATGGGATAGATGGGTATAATTGATAAACGACCATGGTTTCATAAAAATGATTTTGATGTATGACGATGGTTTCATAAAAAAATATGGTATTGATAAATGACTGTGTTTTATAGAATTGACATGTAAATATGCTAGTAATTATCTGTTACATGTAACTGAACTATGCCACCATAGAATCGAGATTATCAAATGTAAAACATCAACCTGATTTTTGGCACAGACATCCCCCATTCTCCCAGAAGGAAGGCGGCTCATCTTCGTAAACACTCGCCTTCTTGTTACTGGGTGGCGACACCAGAAACAAGGAGATGTAAGATGGTGGGTCAGGTCCTTTTGATAAAGAAAGAAAAGGGAATGTATTTATTTTGAATACCATTAATTTCTAATGGCAGAGCTTCTATTTTTTGATATTTGATATTGTGACATATTCTTAATGCTTACAAACCAAAATGTTTAAGTGTTAAGTGGACGATATGTTTATACGTCGTTGCAAACAGGGAAGTGGTAATGATTTTGTTATGAGGGTAAGGAGTGGGGTGTGGGGGTGTGGAGGGGGGGTGTTAGATAAAGAAATAAGACGACAACTTACCTGCAAGTAACCAGAAAAACTTTGACAAGATGAATTACTAGTATTATTTTGATATGGTAAGTGAACGTCTTGATTATTATCTTAATTATTATCAATACTAAATGTGTTTGTTATAAGAATCATAACTTATAAGATGGTTACTTTGACCTCAACGTCGAACTCATTTTCTTTGACAAGTGAGGTCGTGGGCAGTAACATTCACCTAAGCTACAATTTTTATTTTTTATCAGTAGTATATTTTCCCTTTATATTCCCATGCCAAATTCAATCGCCTATTAAGGACCTATCTCAACCCTTGAGTCATAATATGAAATACTTATAATCTTCCTGTTAAATTTTCAATACCTTAAATGCTTCTATAATTTGAATGCCTTTGCCAATTCTAAAAAAAAATTAAGTTTAAATATATTTTTTTCTTAATATATTCCTTTGTAGAATAAACGTAATAACCTAATGTAGAGTGACAGTGAAGATCTCCTAATGTAGAGCGACAGTGAAGATCTCCTAATGTAGAGCTACAGTGAAGATCACCTTATGTAGAGCGACATTGAAGATCACCTAATGTAGAGTGACAGTGAAGATCACCTAATGCAGAGCGACAGTGAAGATCATCGAATGTAGAGCGACGATGAAAATCATCTAATGTAGATTCACAATGAAGATCATCCAGTGTAGATTGACAGTGAAGATCACCTAATGTAGATTGAAAGTGAAGATCTCCTAATGTAGATTGACAGTGAAGATCTCCTAATGTAGATTTACAGTGAAGATAACCTAATGTAGATTGACAGTGAAAATCACCTAATGTAGAGTGACAGTGAAGATCACCTAATGTAGAGCGACATTGAAGATCACCTAATGTAGAGCTACAGTGAAGATCACCCAATGTAGATCACCTAATGTAGAGTGACCGTGAAGATCACCTAATGTAGAGTATCAGTGAAGATCACCTAATGTAGAGCACCTAATGTAGAGCGACAGTGAAGATCACCTAATGTAGAGTGACAGTGAAGATCACCTAATGTAGAGCGACAGTGAAGATCACCTAATGATGAGCAACAGTGAAGATCACCTAATGTAGAGTGACCATGAAGATCATCTAATGTAGAGTGACAATGAAGATCACCCAATGTAGAGCACCTAATATAGAGCGACAGTGAAGATCACCTAATGTAGAGCGACAGTAAAGATCACCTAATGTAGAGTGATAGTAAAGATCACCCAATGTAGATTGACAGTGAAGATCACCTAATGTAGAGTGACAGTGAAGATTACCTAATGTTGAGCGAGAGTGAAGATCAGCCAATGTAGAGCGACAGTGAAGATCACCTAATGTAGAGCAACAGTGAAGATCACCTAATGTAGAGAGACAGTGACGATTACCTTATGTAGAGTGACAGTGAAGATTATCAAATGCAGTGTGACAGTTAAGATCACTTAATGTAGATCACCTAATGTAGAGCACCTAATGTAAAGCGACAGTGAAAATCACCTAATGTAGAGCGACAGTGAAGATCACCTAATGTAGAGCACCTAATGTAGAGTGACAGTGAAGATCACCTAATGTAGAGTGACAGTGAAGATCACCCAATGTAGATCACCTAATGTAGAGTAATAGTGAAGATCACCCAATGTAGTTCACCTAATGTAGAGTGATAGTGAAGATCACCTAATGTAGAGCGACAGTGAAGATCACCCAATGTAGATCACCTAATGTAGAGTGATAATGAAGATCACCTAATGTAGAGCGACAGTGAAGATCAGGATTACTAGGTGTCACACGAAGACCAGATGTAAATAGTAATCGTAGACTTTTCATTGGAAAGAACAAATTTAAAATGAGACACTTCGCAATAAATCTAATAAAAAGTGTTTGATGTAAAGAAATATACAGAAAGAATTCTCTAATATGTCAAAACTTGAGAAACAGATCTTAGAATTATTGGAATTGATTTACAAGAGAATATAAGAATAACATCAAAGACACAAAAATACAGGCCCTTGAAAAATATATGGAATTTCTTTTTAAAAGACTTAATTAAATAACAGATGGAAAGAGTTTCTGAAATAACATGAAAACTTTGTTAAAACAGAAATTGCAATCTTTCAAATGAGTCAGAACAAGAGAATATTAAGTAACGGTATCTTGGAATAGAAAATGTCAAAAAACGAAAAGGAAGAAGAGTCCAGAAATTGCAAAAAAGATCACAGAAAAAGAGTATGAGAAATAACTTCAAGTAAATAAGATTTATATGGATTCTATGGAACTTCAAAAAAGAAATTATGTGGAAAGATTATAAAGGAAACACAAAGATCGAACATAAGAAGGGCAACATATTATCTATGGTAGATTTAGTCAAGAGATGGAGAGAACAATTTTGTTCTTTGGTCAATACAAATGATCACAAAACACAACAGAAATAACCGAGAAAATTGAACTGTCCAGAAGATCAAAATATTTATTAGAAAACTGCAGAATAACAAAGCTGCAAGGTCAAATAACATTAAAAGAAAGTGTAAGTAGTTCAAGAATCTGACTAAAATTAGTGACCCTTTTCACAAAAAATACGAATAAGACTAAAATTTCACGACTCTCAATTTTTATACAATAAAGCGTTCGTCGTGATTAGTAATCATTCAGTTTCCTAGATGTAGTAAGTAGAAAGAGTCTCGTGGAGCGTGTGTCGTATGGATACCAGATAACCTAGTAAAAGTTACTTATGAATTCTATATTTACTAATGTTATCTATTAAATTTACCCAAAACCCAGTAAAACTAATTTTGAGCCAAATATTGCAGGGACAGTAAATTTACTAGTCATCTAAGTGACAGTGAATAGAAAAATAAGATTATTGCAGCTTGGATATTTGTTGTAGAATGGGAGGAATTTTAGGCATAGTCTTAAATTTTTTTTTTTGTGAAAGGGGCCACAGATCTTTGTAACGCTTCAAAATTCTGCTGTTACGTACAGAGAGAAAAGGGAAGAAAAGAAGTGTCTGAACAATGGAAAGAAGGACTGGGGTAAAACTTCCAAAGAAAGGGGACTTAACACAATGTAAAGCAGTACACATAAACTTCCTTGCAAAGGAAATTCTGTGTATAATAGAATGAAGGTTAAAGTAGATATTTAAAAGGAAAAACGAATTGCTAGTAGTTTTAAGGAGAATAGATCATGTATTGAACATATATTGTCTTAAAGTAACATCTGAAGCTGTGTAGGAGTATGGTAAGAATGGTACTTTATATAGGAACCAGCCATTGTGGGTTTGTAGACACATGCATCAGACAGAAATGGAAATTGAATGCCACGAAGTATCTGGAAAAAAACCCAGGAAAGATATAAATGTCGAAATCAAAAAGTGACGCTGAACAAATTATTATGATTAAGGTCATGTGCTTAGACAAGATATAGAGAGTTTAACAAAAAAGGTTACGTAAAGGACACCACCTCAAAAGAGAAAGCCTTGAAGACTAAAGAGTACATGAAGGAAATACAGAAAATGAGGAAACAATGAAATTTGAACACATCATATCACCGGAATTGCAAATGTCCAAAGCCAATGAACATTGTTGCCCACCTATGTGCAGATATGTAAGAAGAGGTTTAAGTATAAAGGAATGTGACCCACATACCTAGGGGGAGGAAAAATAAGTTGAACATACTCGAATCTGCAGTGCCCAAGGATACTTCCAGATATGGCTTTCATGCCTTTCCAGTTCTTGGGAATTTGGTCAGTTTTGATCATTCATTGTACCTGGTAGTCATGCCCTATATAGCTGTTCCCAGAAGTAATGATTTGATTAAATTTTAGTTAACACAAAATACCTCAGTAATGAAGCATTCAAAAAAATTTTATTTCTCCTCACCCAGTAGTTTTTGAGATGATTCAACAGTTTTTTTCCCTTATACATTTCCAGGAAAACTTTTATGGCCTATGATGGTCTTACCTTATCCGTGGAGAAAGGAGTTACTAATATTTTGAACTAAATTGAATCTACACTTCCTGAAAATGCTTCCACATACATGTCATATAAAAGAATCAGAATATTGAATTTTAATTAATACTTAATCATCTATCATTGCAGGTTGTTTGACCCTTTGAACTTAAATTATTGAGCCATGGATCGATGCAGTAACTGTGTAGCAAGTTTTGTTGGAAATGAACCAGCGTTTTTGAGAAGAGGTTAAAAATATGAAGGCAGAGAGATGGAGGCAAGGCAAAATGTGATCGGCTTAGGTGAGTCAATAAATTGCTAAATTTTATTTATTTCAGAGCGGCGAAATAAATTACTTTTTAGGATGAGAAAAACATATCAGAAAAAGTCTCAACTTAATATTCATGACTTTAAATTTGACCTTCGATCTAGTATTTTATTTATTCTGTGAATTTAATTATCGTATATGGACTGGGATTTATAAAATAATTGGTCACCACTTAATTCTAAAATAATTTTATTAATTAGAAATCATGTTTCCCTTTATCTTCTGACAATTTATTTGCAATGCTTGTATGTAAAAACCTTTCTTAAATACAAGAATATTTAATGTTATACAACAGATATTTGCTGTTATCAGAGCTTAAACAGTTATACATATCTTGACACTGCATCTGACGCAGAATAAAGTTTACTCACATTAAAACACATAACATAATCATATAATATATATAATATATGTGAAAAATTATTAGTTTCAAAGTATCTGGAAGAAAGAAATATGTAGATAATGTGTTGATAAAAATGTTATGCGATTTTAGATTTTAAACAATAAGAAATTATTTCTCATGTACATTGTCTAGAGATCCGATTTATTTTGACCACAATTAATGAGTGCAATGTAAACGTAATGACATGGATGTCTATGAATATTATTAGTAGAGCTAAGATCAATTGACCTTTTTTAGTCTGTTTACCTACTTTTTCCGGTTGGTTGCGCTGAAGTGATTGGCGGAAGTTTAGGGTAAAATCCCTCATCAGCTGGAGGAATAACCTCCTTCCCACTTCCTCCCGGGACCGTCCGGATGTCCAAAGGTTGGACGGACATTTGTTACATGTATGTCCAAAACGTATCAAAATGTCGGATATTTATTTTCGACTCAAAGAACTGATAATCTTTGAGTTTAAACGACCTTACCTACAACAATCTATAAATCATGGATCGATAGGACCTTTAAATATATACAATGAAATTTAAATGCATATATGCTTTGACACAGTGTCACTGTGTATACGCATGCATGTGTTTCTATAGCTCATCCAGATGAAATATCAAATTTAAATGCTTGAATCCGTATGAAGTAGTTTTATATGTGTAGAAATAAAAAACATGAAGGAAAAATTAATCCTACACACCCATTCTCAATATAAGGGCACAAATGCCTCTCTGATTTTAAAAAAAATGAAGTTCAAGAAAACAATTTTTTTATCAATTACTTTTGAGAGAAAGTATCTGAAGGTTTTGTTTCCAGATTTTTTTTCATCAAATTATAATACATGGAATAATGACAAGACGATAAAGCAGAGGGTGATTTTATTCAGAAATGTAGCTTGAAATGTACGTTACTCTTTCTTCAGTGTCCAAAAAGATATGTAAAAAAAATGTAGTCATTAAAATCACAATTGGAATAGCTCATCTTAACACCAGCACATCCTACCAACTCTGTCAGCAACATATTTTCTCGGCATACGAACGTGCGTTTGATTTTTCCTTTCAAAAGACAATGGTTTCTTTTTTATTCCAGATGTATAAAAACATTTTTTTAATATATGCTTTAAATTCTTCTCTCTGTTTTGTTTAGAGCGATCAGTTTGGAATCTTGTCATGTTTTATAGATACTGGAACCTAACATGTACATGTAGAAAAATTCTATTTTGTAGTTACTATCTTTTTTAACATATATCCATGCCGATTTAGAAAACTACGTAAATGTAACGTACATTTCAAGATATATTTCTGTTTAATAAAAAGCTTAAAATTCATCTAAAAATTCATTGTTTTGATTCAGTTTATCAAAAAAAAGATTCTCTATGTAATCACATTGTGTTATATGTTGCAAACACCACTATAAAGATACGATTGCCTCAGAATATGAGTAGGTAACGTACATTTCAAGCTTGTAATAATATGTAAATTTGTAATAAGAAAATTTTGAAAAAAAAGCAATTATTGACATAAAATTCATTTCAATGAAGCGTTTTAAGGCAGTAATATAAGAAATCATAATGTAACAATCGAGGTTATTTGTCATTAACTACATGAATGTCACGTCACTTCGGTAACGTTCATTTCACATATTATTGGAGAGTCCCCTCCACCTCAGTTCATTACCATTCTTTTGTGCTGTTTCGCTGAAATTGACACCGGTCAAAGCCTAGTTACTTCTACCTGTGTGCAAGGGTACAGACAAAAAAAATATAAGAGTCAGACGTATTTTGCTATGATCTAACATATGCTTGTGTTTGGCCATTGAAACTGAACATAAATCTATTCCGAATATATCCATCGACAGTATGTTAACAATTTCATTTAGTATGTTGCAACATCGTTTTTCAAAACACAAACATACGTGCTTTTCAGCAGATATGGAAAAATATAACCCAAAATGCAATGATTCAAACAAAACTGAGTATTGTGTGCCTTTCAGTATTTGAAATGTACGTGACCGTCTTGTGTTCTGGGTTTAGGCCTATTTGTTTCTTTTTTTCAATTTTTTGTTTCTTTTTTTACCGATTATAAGCCTATGCATACCTTGTTTAAATTATCAGCAACAATTAAATTATGATATTGACGAAAAGTCGCATATTAAAAGTAAACAAACTGCAATAAGGTTGCCAAAGATGAATTTAAAACACTTAGAAATAAATTTTCTAGCATGTGGTAACAGTCTAAAACATTTACGAGGACTGGGGGTGCATTTAGATGGATTTATGTGGCCAGTTGTCAAATTGATTGTAACGATAATTTTGTTTCGCTCGTGTAAAAGCAATTCATTGACTAAATTTAAAAAAAAATGTCAGTTAGAAATACGTGAAATGTACGTTACCATACGTAACGTACATTTCAAATATAAAAATCAGTTCTCTTCCACAAGCATACGTAAGACACGCAATATAATGATACTATTTGAACTTGCATATCATAAGAAATGCATCATACAGGTTTCGTATTCAGAAATATATACCAGGTATCAAAATTATTTTACATATAATTGACCTTAATATATTTTTTTTCCTCAGCAGAAACGTTTCTTTTCATTAATTTTGGGATTTAGCCGACCTCCAACCTTTGAAACTTTCCTTTGTGTACACATTCGACTGTGTGAAAGTATGAGAATACATGAAAATTCGTGCGAGATTCACTTAATTCGAATTTCATGGTAACGTACATTTCAGTAACGTACATTTCAAATGATCACTTTTCATGTAAAAAAGAATTTTTAATTGTGTTAATCAAATCGTCTTTGCCAGTTTACAGGGTACAAGGGGTTGCTTATTCAGAGTCGTCTCATATTTTCTTCTTAATATATATTCTTAATGGAAAAATATAGGTAACGTACATTTCTTTCTTATCTCTACGATTGAAAATGTCTTTCATTCCGTAAACATATTTAAAAAAAGTTGCTCAAATTGTTCAATTTCATGTTACATTATCTAAGTAGGAGTAATAAATCTATTGAAATATCAAATTTAGCCCATCAATAAGTAAAGGAGAACAAAACTATCAGGTGTATAATCTTTGTGTTTGCTTTTAATGTGGTTGAAATAAAATTAAGCGACAGGGACATTGCACAATAAAAATTATTTATTATCACAAAGAAAACGTATTTATTGTTATGAAAAGAAATATATATGATACAAGGTTTAACTTATCAGAAAATTTTTACTTAAGAATCAAAACTATATATTACACAGAGGGGATTCAGAATAATATTTGCCTCGGCGATACATTTCAAATAGGCTACTATATTTGAATTTGGAACTCCTTAAATACCCTTTCAGATCGATAATTATATGAATTCTTATTCATTGTTATATGACTATTTATAATGTTGATTTAGAAATTACATCAGTGGTATTTCTTTTAAATGAAAATGAGGCGACATTATTTGAGCCCTTATATTGAGAATGGGTGTACAGTGCAACCAAGGTAGCGTTTAGATCATTTAATTATATTGTTACAGTTCAGAAATACTTTTAGAAACTTGTATTCAGGGAAAACTCTTTGCGTTTTCCTACAGTTTCCAAAGGAATTCTCTTTTAAAATTAACATTCATTTTGTATCAACACTGGGCTGAAAACTTGTTTTCAAAATGGTTCCTCCGGGGATGCTGGAAATGACATGAGTGTCTAATCATAACTTGACTTTTAATTACATATATGAAAGAACAATTATGAAACGTAAGACTGTCGTTTTATTATTTTGCAAGGAAAACAGAGCTTCAAACCTGTCATCTCTTCTCTGTAGTCAAGAGGTCTAGTTTTACAATCACCTATATCCAAAGATATGACCATCAATGGTAGTTTTTATGTTATAAATACACCGAGGAAAAACTTCAGCAGCTTTTTGTAAAGGTAGTTTACTCATCCTAAAGTTAATTTCCATTTTCTGACAACTTTGCTGCAATTATAGGGTGGGATTCTGCACATTCCGTCAATTGAAACTTGCCTGGAAGATTACGGAAAGTTGACTTAATGATAAATAATAATGTATATATACCATTCAGACACCTTTCTAGACTCGTCAGTAACCATTCCGTGATAGAATGTAAATGAAAATTCAAATCCTTCCTCCATATTAACTAGATCTCAATCATTGTGAGATGTTTTATTACTATGCTTTTTATTATTATATATAGAGAATATCATTCATCATTGTTCTTTGAGCACCTTTGAAATTGATTATAAAGTGTACTGGTCATGGGCACAAATACTTTAGGCATATTATAATAGTTAAACGGGGGATACCTCGGGGAAATAAATAAATATACATATATTTTTGTGTTTTTTTAACATTGCAATTTATTTTGCAATTAACATTGATGAGTCCTCGTATATATGTAAGTCGGTTCGCTCATTGGTCGGTTGCATTTTTTCTTCATGGTATTTTGGAAAAAGTAGCTACTGAACCGCTTGATTTTCATTTATATGTACTCTCTTTCTCTTTTTGTCATATTAGCAGTTTTATATTCTATTGCATTTACCTGGGATTACATGAAATATGCAGCAAAGTTGATTTATAATATTGACATGCAAAAATAAATAAATTGAAGTAAAATATATATTAAAAAAACTACACACATATTACTTCATCTTTATTAGATAAAAGCTTGAAACATTTATATTGGTAACAACAATGCATACATGTATATATGCATATAAAAGGACAGTGCTTCATGTAGATAAAATTTTCTAAAAAAAAAATCAACAAAAATAATTTTGTCTATTTACAAAACTAATAAAGTTTTAAAATACTCAATGTATGGCACGGGAAAATTAAATCTTTTGGAAGAGCCCCCCTACCCTTTAAAAAAGTTTAAAAAGTCTTCTAAATAAATATTTCCTCCTTTATGGTGTTCTGATACTGTAAGCGGTGCGAGAGATGAATTTACGCTTTATTTACAAGATCACAAATTAACTGAGGATTTTTTTAAATGAGGTATTGTGTTTGGCATAAAGGTACATAATATCCACTCATTAATAACATACTTAATATCATGATATTCAAGGTGTTCACCAAAAAAAGTATTTCTGATACATAGTATTAGCACAAGTCAGTCCATTTAAAATAAACTATTATCGGGCAGTTTAGAAGCAGGTTCGGTTTAACCTGCGTTTGGGTGGTTTCTGATGTATTCTTTTCGTATCTCCATGTCATCGGCTGGTCTGTTGTGGGCGGTCCATACGGGTTCCCCAACGAAGTAACGATGAGCCTTTATGTAGTTCTAAAAATAAGTTTTTGTATTAAAACTAAAATTATCAAATAGCTATTTAAGAAAAAAAAATTGAATGCTAAAATAGAAAGAAAATTATCTGCTAATTTATAAGTGTACAAATAACTCTATACAAACAAACCGATCAACAGAAAACACCTACATTTATCTATCATGGTATTCAAGCCAAAATGAATACACTCAAGAAAACTATATTTGATTTCAATGAAAAGAATGATAAATATACTAGCTGTATCAGATACAGAGTTTTTGGAAGTTAAATTCCATATTCCCTCTCCCTCCCAACAACAACAACAACAACAACAACAAAAAGTTTATATTTGACGATGTTAAATGTATTTGTAATTCCATTTTCCATTTTTGATTGATTAATTGTGTATTGTTTAACGTCCCTCTCCAGAATTTTTCACTCATATGAAGACGCCACCACTTGCCCGGGGAGAGCTGCAAATTTTGTTCTATACTCGGCACTCAGGGCCATTGATCAGGGAGGAATCTTTATCGTGTCAGCACCTACTGCGACACGGGACCTCAGTTTATACGGTCTTATCCGAAGGACCGGTCTCCACGTCCCACAGTGGGATTCGAACCCGCGACGTAAGGATTCACTCCTTACTTCGCGACTCTAGAGCAGACGCTCTTACCACTGCGCCACGCGGGCGACTTTATCAGAATGAGACAACAATGATCATTGCGTCCTCATTGTCAAGTATTTTAGCATATTTTCTTACCTTTTCGTCAAGCGTAAATCTATGATAAATGCCAGCCGGCAAAATGATGAAGACATTCGGAACCACTTCAATTCGGATCCACTTGTCATTTTTGTCGCGGACATCGAGGTACCCACTGCCCTCTGTAACATAGCGAATCTCTTCGTCTGAGTGCAGATGCTCCGTGAAGAAAGTCTTCAACTACAAACCAATTTAGTATAAGAAAAGTATTACTACAACAACACGAGACCTAAGACTATATATACCCTAAAATCTTGAAAATAAGACGGATTTAATAATAAGCCGGTTTTGAAAATAAGCCACCTATTTCTTGCATTAAAAATTACTCGAAAATAAGCCAGTTTTGAAAATAAGCCGGTCATGACAATGCCATTTAGGAAAGGTGTTAAACTTTTGACGATTGCCTCGTCTTAAAAATTTGACGATTGAAAACTTCGACGATTTTTTTTACTGTGTGAAAGAGTTATCTTTCTTTCATTCATTTAACCTTTACCAATTTCTGCATAAGACATGATACGAACTAAGTCTGTAGAAACAAACGAACTTATGTAAAATTACTAATAAAGGGTAGTTTTTAAAGTTATTATTTTTTTTTACCAGTAAGCATGTTACGCTGGCTAAAAAAAATTCATTGCGGAACCAGCTAACATGGTGAATTTTTTTCATGAAATTGTCAGAAACAATAATTATCTCATCCAGACCCGTACAAGCTAACTGTGTGTTTAAAATTGTTATAATTAAATAAGTAAACGGGTAAAAGGAAGATTTTGTTTGTAAAGCATTTAACTGTCAGGTAACACTGCCCGAGGCAAGAAACCTGCTGATTGGCAGGGCTTGGTAGTAATTACATTTCAATGTACCGTATAATTGAGTTGTTTAAATATGTGTTTGTTTGACTAATTTATCAAGTGATTCAATTACAAGCGGATAACTTATAATTTATTTTTACTTTTTTAAAACAAGTTTATATTTCATGTAAATTTATCATTCTCTAACCAGAGTTGTCTTCCGCTACGCTCACTACACCTCTGTCAACGCTCGTTGTACAAGATTCTTGTACAAATTTTAAATAGTGAAAATCTGAAGTTAAAATAGTAATTAATTGTTGTAATTATTGATAAAGATGATAATTCATCATTTATTTCAAACCTATATTCCCTCAAAACGACTTATTTTCAAAGTTTTAAGGGAACTATTTTGCGGAGTAAAAATTAAAATCTTAATTAAAAAATCCTTTTAAGGTGTAACAAATTAACATAAATATTGTTTTCCGATAAGAAATATAATTATAAACGACTATTAATACAATTTTTAATCATTTACAATTTTTCCAAGAATCTTGTAAAACAAGCGTTGACAGAGGTGTATGTGGGAGCGTAGCGGGAACGACAACTCTGGATAGAGAATGGTAAATTTATAAGCTGTAAACAATGAAATTATTTTTTCGGGATCGACATTCTCAAAATATAAAGTAGACGATTACAGCATAGACCTAAAGAAAACGTACATCGGGGAATGCCAATGAATAAAAAAAAAATGACGAGAGAAAACTTTGACGAGCTAAAGTCATTCGTTAATGTTTCCTCCTTGTCAAACTTTGCACTTTTACAGTATTTTTTTCTACACGCAAGATACTGAACAAAGTATTATTGTAATTATTTTATTATATGCATGATTTTTTAATTTTAGATCTAACAAGTAGTTCTCACTCTATCGATTACACTTTATTCAATGATTGTATTGAAAATAAACCGGAATTGTGCTCTCTTCTCTTGCCAGTTTTTTGCATTGATAATAAGCCGGAATTTGAAAATAAGCCGGTTTTGAAAATAAGCCCCAACTTTCTTACCAAAACTTAAAATAAGCCGCGGCTTATTTTCAAGATTTTAGGGTATCACAAATGGTTGACCCTTAAAATTCATTAATTATTGAATTAGCATGGAAGCATAAAAATAGTAGAATGTCTTTCCTTACAGGGAGTTGAGAGTAAATAGAAACTTTATAATCAAGAGTCTATGATCAAAAAGTTGTCCGGCTTCCGAATCTTAGGACAACCCTGCCTGGGCACAACTTAACACATAAAACAACAAGGAATCACTGGATAGCATTCCTGAGCCCCTTCCTAGTCACCACAATTTTATAGGCTGTATACCGTCTCGTCGTAGTTGGGTAGTTTTTCCCTGCTACATATGACCTCATCCTGGTAGGTGTAGCCACGGTCCTTTCGTAACTTAGTCACCTGCTCCTCGGCTTTAGCTGGGTCAGAGCTGATCTAATAATAAGTATGTACATTGAAGTCTTTCATAAATAATTAATGCATAATGAGTACGAATCATTGACTGTAGATTCCAATTTATCATATACTTATTATTTAACATATACATGATATATAATATGTACTCGATAATTATTGATGTGTACAAAAATCATCCCATTTACTTTTCACACAAATGTGCAGCCTTAAAACGACCGCATGGCATTTTGCCCCCATTCAAGCATAATATAACTTGAAATCGTGCACCTATACCATTGCTTCTTGAGTACCCCAAAATATAAAACTCCTAGATCCTTCAGTTGATCCAAAGTGACGAATTGTGGTGGATCTGTCATATGAGGTTTCCTCTGATCCTCGGTAACTTCGTTCATGTGCCATGCTCGTACCATCTTTGAATTTTACAAGGAAACGCTCTGTACTCTTTCACAGCTAGCAAAGAATGACACATTTTTTTTTAATTTTCGAGACACATTTTTTTGTTGGGTCCATGGGCACGTCTTTTAATTTCAAGTTTTTGAGAAGTTTAGATGTTTCTATGTAAAAACTTGAGTTTGTTCACCTATTGTGGTCCCACAGTACAACAGGGATCATTAATTGAACAAACCTGAATCTACACTTTCTGAGGAGGTAACACATACAGGTGTACAATGCATATAAGTAATCATGGCTTTGGTGTTTTTGAGAAGTCAACTTTTAAAAGATTTTTTTTTATGTATTTCTTTGTGAAACCTTTATCGATCATTGTGGTCCTATCCCACCCCTAGGGGCATGATGTGAACAAATCTGAAATCTTCCATGTAGGTTTCACATTTTATGACCCAGTGATTTTGAGAAGTTTTAAAACCATGTGCTTATTTTTTAGCGATTCGAACTTGGAAGAAATCATGGAATTTCATTTTAATAGACTTTATTTCCTTTATTCGATGATATTATTTGTTGAACATTTGGTTGAAATCGGTGCAATTGTTATTAAGAAATTGAAAATGTCAAAAAAAAAGAATACACATATTCTTTTCATCCACAGTATGAGGATAAAGTAGAGATAAACTAAAGCAATAAGAATAGTAACCGAAATTTGAACTGTCACTCATCAAAAACAGGTTTCCATGTAGACCATATGGAATTAAAATAAACAATTTAATTCTTTTGGATTGAAACAAATTTTTCAACATTATATTTTATTCTTAGATGACATAAGATTTGTCAATAGACATACATTTAAAATATTTTGATACTGCAGTAAGAACACTATTATATATTGAATAATCTGCTTATTTGTATCTGTTTGTGAGAGGCAAAATCTTTTTTGTAAAGAATCATAGCATAAACATTTTCCATTGCTATCTAAAAAATCTCCAATTACTCTGACACCTTTCTCATACCAATTTTTGATAAAAATAGATCGTTTGCCAACCAAGATATTAGAATTGTAATACACCGGGATATTTGAGAAATTAAGTTTTACATTTTTACAATTATTTAAACACTTCATGACTTCAAGTCATAATTTTAATACATCTTGCCAGAAAGCATTGTTTTTAGCTAGGAAGTAAATGTTTCTAAATAAACAGATCCCCAAAATGAAATAACTTCTCAATAACATTTTTTCCATTCAATGCAAAAAAAAAAAAAAATCCATTCATTACTTTTGTTTTGGAGTTAACCTTTTCATCCAAGAAGATTTTAATGCAATTATAAAATTATCTATATCGACCATTTTTAAACCCCAAGAAAGATAATTTTGTGTGACAAGGGACCGCTTTATCTTATCCGATTTGGACTTCCATATAAATTCAAAAATATCTTTTTGCAAATCAACTAAACACTGTTTTCTAGGAGATGGCAAAGGAAGAAATAAATGATTAAGCTTAGGTAGGATAAGAGTCTTAACAAGAGTTATGCGACCAATTGGAGTTAGGATTCTCCGCTTCCATTGTTTAAAGCTTTTATTTTAGGTAGTTGCGAGTCATACCTAGTATCAACAATTTCTTTAAGATCAACTGAGAACTGAATTCCTAGTAAGTTGAAAGTTGTAGTTCCCCATTCTAATTTCCACCTTGTTTGATGGAAAACTTCCTTTGAAAACTCTTTTGATCCGATCCACACTATTTTAGTTTTTGATATGTTGATTTTCAATCCTGAAAGTTTCGAATAAAAGTCAATGGTATCAAGCGCAGCAAGAAGGGATTTTTGTGAACCATCTAGAGCAAGAAAAGTATCATCAGCATACTGAGATAATTTATGTTCTTTATTATCTACCACAATACCTTTAATATCCTTATTCTGTTTAACTAAAATTGCCAGAATTTCTGCACATAGAATGAATATACTGAAACACAAAACAAACGCAACAAGCAGTAATCTACAAATGTTTCATTTTTTATCTAATGATTTTCAAAAATGAATACAGTAAGGCTAAACTCACTTTTCAGAACATCAGAGATTTGAAAAAAAGTTAAATGTTTATCTTTTTACTCTATTGAGTAATATTTGACTGTTAAAACACCCCCTCCCAGCCATTCAAATAAAACGTGCAAGACTGTCCTAAACAACAATTGCAGCTTAATTTCTAATATACAATAGGTTCATCAATATCTAGATCTGAGCGAAGGAATTTTTCGTTGCCATTTTTAAATGCCCGTTTTTCAGATGATAGATCAAATTTTCTCTAACTTAGAGCAGTGTAGCCACCCGTGGACTTCCGGTACAAGGACTGTCCTTGATGCATATGAGACGTAAGACCCCGTTGAGGCATAATGTAGTGAATTTTTGCATCAGCAACTCTCCATCACATTTTCATTTAAATTTTCCAGCTAGAGCAATGGAAATGCGTATTTAAGCCATTTTCAAAAAACCTTAGCATCGTTACGGGAAACGAAAGGAGAGTTTATTTTTTGAAATATTGCTGCATTAATTATGATGAACAGTAAAAACCCTTAAAACTCCATAATATTGCCAAATGCAATTTTTAATTTCTGTTAAGCAGACTCGATCTTGACTTCCGGTTATGGTATGAAAATCTTTCAACCGTTAAATTACCGATGTTTACCAAATTGAAGATATCCATAATTTTAAGATACAAAATTCTTTACTCTGCATAATTATTTTCTCCTTAAGTAGGGTGTTGCGTTTCTTTCGCGTGTCAGTATAAATATTGAGAAACAGGGTCTGCAACCTCTTTGTACATGTATATCAAACTGATAAGATAAAAATCCACTTTGTAAAATAGAAACTTTTCTCTCTTTAATAACATTTATGGATTTTTTCCGATTTTTAAAAGCTATTTTTGACATATTTTGATATTTACATGGAATACCTGTAATAATCAAGATGTATGTTGAGAGACTGCTATAAATGAACGTAAACGAAAAAAATACATCCTGAAATCTATTTCATGGAGTGACGCAGCATAGAACTCTATCGAAAAGTCGGTCGGAAGACCAGTTGTTGCACTAGCAACAAGAAAGCATCTAGTTAAGGTCTTCCGTTTCAGACGGAAGACCTTATTATATCATATAGTGAATCTACTGTTTCTTTTCTTGTCAGAATGATTTCTCAGAGATGGCTGGACGGATTTTCTTTTCAGGGATGATAGAGAATGAAAATACGCTCAGACGTTCTTATTTCATTTTTTAAAAATTCACTTCCGTTCGTCAGATATGTCCGATTTCCGCATTTTTCAAAAAGATTTTATTCGAGTCATATCTCAGAAACGGTAAGAGATGAAGACACTTTGGAAAACTTACAATATATCTAACTAGTGTTGTTGATACAAGTTGAACATGTGCACTGTGCAGTGATAAAATATTAATAAAGGAAATAATGTTACACTGATTAAACTGGTAGATGAAACGTGCAGGAAATACAAACTCAAACACAAAAAGTTAAGTGAAACTTGAAATTGGTATGTCTTTCATGTGATACGCATAAACTAAAAATGATTTTTTTTTCCAATTAAGAGATAAAAAATATGCTTACAAGCTTGAAAACTATGATTGTACTAAAAAAATACTCTTCCCTTAATACCTACCTCGTCAGTACACATCGATTATTATACTGACTAAGTTTAGAGACTTTAAACTATTTTTTTTCTTATCAATCTCAGTAAAGGTTAATGAACGTCGTAAACTGAATAGTGTGCATGAACGAAACATATTGCAATTTCACACGGAAATGTGCACGTAGACCAGGAAATTTGGTCGCTGCTGTTATAATTAGGAAGATTGTAAATATGCTGCTTCATATTCGTTCTAATAAATGGTAATTACTTAAATTGTGTGCAGAAAATTGAGAAAAAAAAAAAACTAAAAAAAAACAAAGTTGATAAAGATATTCCACAGTGCCTTGACAAAATAATAATGAAAGGCTCATATTTAATTATCTTTAAAAAAATGTTTACTTATATCTTGACTCATGCTAATTAATTCATCTTGGCCTTTTAAAATGATAAAAATACGTGACACAGGAAGAAACAAGACCTTTCAGTTAAAACTGAAAGGCGGCTTTCAGTTACTTTTCAGTGCCCATTCAGCGATTGAATGGCACACATATTTCAGTGACCTTTCAGTTATCATTCAGTTGCAACTTTTTATTGAAAAATCGGCTTATTTTTAAACTTAAAAATTTTATTTCACTTTTTCCTGGTTAAATAGCATTAAACCTATCTAATTCCGAAAAGAAAATGGAGGAAAAAAATTAATGCAAGGAAAAAAAATCGTTCCCAAGGCCAGAATCGAACCCGGGTCTCCTGCTTACCACGACCTTATCAATTACGCTACGACTTCTTCTTGAATGGTTAGGATTTAAAATCAATTTATTTGTAGAAATCGATGGATCAATCGGTTCACCTGTTGTATCGAGGAGCTGCGACGTGCAAATATCTTATAACATTATAAAAAAAAATTTAGACATAATTTTAATATTTAATTTAATCACAATAAGAAAAAAAAACACACAATTAAAATTGAGTGATAAATCTTTATTCAAATTAAAATATTGCTTCATTGTTAAGGGAAAATATCTGGTTATAAATTAATAAGCTAGTGAAAAAAATCGCTAAATTGAGACTAAAGTATCACTGAAATGTGGTGGAGAGGTCCCTGAAAGTTGACAGAAAGGTCACTGAAAGTTGACGGAATGGTCATTGAAAGTTGACAGATATATGTCAGATGAATGGTGACTGAAAGGTATCTGAAATGCGACTGAAAGGTAACTGAATGATCACGGAAAGGTAACGGGAAAGGGTCTTTTCAGTGACCTTTCAGTGACCATTCAGTGGGTATTCAGTTACCATTCAGTCGACTGAATGGTGGATTTTTATCCTGTGTGACTTGATAACAAATTTGGTAATATAGGGTACATATCTATTTTATGGTAGTGCGATCTAAAGGCAGATCACTCTGTCGAAAAAAAATCCATAGATTCAGAACCCTTTAGTGTGCAGAGAAGGGAGGGTTTTAAGTGTATTTGCAAAATAATTGTT